CTCAGAAGGAATCTTGTATAGGAATGGAAGATTTTAAACGAGATTGACAAAGGAAATCCAAAACACTGCTTTTGGATATTCGAGGAAAGCCGAACAAGAGGGCACAGATTCAGGGTAGCATATTGCAGTTTCAGGACAGGTACCAGGAAGATTTTCTTTACCCAGAGGGTACTTACAACAACAACAACAACTTGCATTTATACAGTGCCTTTCACGCGGGGTAGCGTCCCGGAGCACTTGGCAGTAGTGGAGTCTAGCCCCGAGCCAGGGGGAGAGGGAGGGGGAAGGTGACCCGTAAGCGCGATTAAAAAAAGAAGGTCTTTAGGCGGGACTTGAAAGCGGGGAGGGAGGGATTGAGGGAGAGAGTTCCAGAGTTTCAGGGCGTAGTGGCTGAAGGCACGGCCACCGATGCTGGAGCGGAGGGGATGAGAGATGAACAGGAGGCTGGAGCCAGCTAAGGGGAGGCAGTGGGTGGCAATCAATGAAGTGGACAGGTTATCAGGAAGGGTGATTGAGGCCAGGACCCTAGACTCATTGAAACAAACCAGCACAATGCTGTAACAGGAGGAAGGTAGGATGGGTATTCTGGAAGGATGAGATCAAATGGGTCAAAGGGCCCTTTTTTTTCGGAACTGATCTTGTGATTTCAAAGCCTTTGGCTATTGCTTTCTGGACCATATGAGATGCTATTTTTTAATTGTAAACATGTCTAGTTTATATTACAAAAAGTTGTGCCATGTCCTGCTCTGCCTTCCCCCACCTCCGCAACATCGCCCGGCTCTGAAACAGTCTCACATCGCAGGCCGTCAAAACCCTCATACACGCCTTCATTACATTGAAACTCGACTATGCAAACTCACTGCTTGTCGGCCTCCCCAACTCCTCCCTCCAGAGACTGCAGATCATCCAGAACTCTGCAGCCCGTGTCCTCTCCTGTGACCCTATCACCCCCATCCTCACCAGACTCCACTGGCTTCCCATCTCACAGAGGATACAGTTCAAGATCCTGGTCCTCACCTTCAAAACCTTCCATGGACTTGCTCTACCCTACCTCTCCGACCGCCTAACCCCCACAACCCTGTTTGCTCCCTCTGTTCAGCAGGCTCCGGCCTGCTTCACGTCCCCCGCCTCGCTCTCCCCACTATTGGCGGGCGGGCCTTCTGCCCCCACCCTCTGGAACTCCATTCCGCATTCCCTCCGTCTCACCCCCTCCAACGCCACCTTCAAGACCCATCTCTTCAACCGTGCTTTCGATGTCCCTGCTTCCCTCCCTGCCCTCCATCCTCCCTCACCCCGACCCCCAGTTCGGGTCCGCAACTTTGTCTGTCCAGCGCCTTGGACATCCTCCCGACGTGAAAGGTGCTTTACAAATGTAATTTTGTTGTTGTTGCTGTTGGTGGTGGTGGTTTAAGAGACAGACAATGGACATAGGGGCAAATAATAAGATGCATTGTGCTGCGCATTAAAGCCTTAATAAAAGATAAGTCTCTGCGCATTAACTTGTCTCTGGAGTAAAGTTACTCTGAGCAGGGGATCAAGTGCTGTACTACAAAGCTGTGCTGATGACAGAATAGCTCACGTAGCCTGTATTCATTTACAGAGGGACCTTTAGGGGAGGTTAATCCCAGCACCTGCCATTCCCTCCATCTTGATCCCATGGTCTGTCCAGGAAATCTCTGCTGGGGAATTAGTCAGGTTTCTTCAGGAATGCAGCAGTCATAAACGGTCAACCTTTGAGATGAGCAGTCAACAATTCAAATGGTTCAGGGGTGTTTGCCGGCTGCTTACGCTTGACACACTAGAGGGTGTTACGTTAATTATTATCTTCTCTTTGGGGGGAAATAAATCAACCATTATTACTCCAGATTCCTACATTAGCCGCCGCCACTGCCTGCATCATCCCCGTTGCACACAAAACCCTCATCCATTGCTTTTCTCACCTCTACACCCGCTTTTGCTAATGCCCGGCTCCTCAGCTGTGTACCATTGGCTGCCGCGTTGCGCCCACTAAACACACAGTTACTACTCTTGACAGTATATTCTGTGAAGCATTTTGAGACATCTCTAACACATGATAAGGTGCTATATCAAATGCAAGGATTATTATTGTTATCTTCTGCGAACTCTGCACCACACATAACTCCCACACTCAGCTCCACGAGCCCAGGACCCCATTCACTACCTGTTTCAATGGCTCCCCATCAACTTTGGAAAAACCTTAAAATCCTCATCCTCACCATCAAATGCCTCCTGTGTCTCAGCCTGGAACAGTGGTAGCACTTTCATCGCTGAGTCAGAAGGTTCTGGGTTCAAGACCCATGTCAGGACTTGGAATCACGTACTCTGAGGAAGCTGACACTCCAGTGCAGTGCTGTGAGATTGTGAGATGTACTCCCAACATTTAGACTCTATAAGTGTAAATTGTTGTGGTTGTTACATGATAACCAACGACCTCTGCTGGAAGGAGTGTGTGTGTGTGCGTGTGTTGGGTGGGAACATGATCAAGCTCAGCTATGACTTTGAAAGAAAGGCAATTTTCATCGTAATGATCCTCGCATTTCACATAGTGCCTTTTCACATCGTCAAGCGGTCTCAAACTGTAAAGTTTGTATTAACATAGAAGAAGCAGGCCATTCAGCCACCATGTCTGTACCATTGTTTCCTGTTTTTCAAAGTATCTTGTTTTCCCTTTAATCCCTATTTCCCAGCTCTTCCCCCCGCCTCCCAAGACAGTGGAAGACGCCCTGTGTTGTTGACTGTCTAGGCTAATTGTGAGCGGTACCAGAATTGCTATGGAACTTTAGCGTAGCAGGAGTCACTGCCTTCAGGGGAGCAAGCTGTCAAGAAGGTCAATGAAGCAATACTGTGCGGCAAGCTGATTACCTCATGTCTCATGCATTCCTTAGCTCAAATGATTTATTGCTGCATTCGCACGTTATGGGCTGCAACCATAATAAAGTGTTACGAACACTGAGCAGCCTTGCTGAAAGGTACAGGAACAGTAAGGCACTCTTATTTTTATTGGTTTTGCTGCTTATTACATAGGGTTAGTTTAATACCAGTTATGGCCATTGCCTCTGTAACAAAGCAGAGTTATCCTTCATCCGAGAAAAGCAGACCCAAATTTCCGTTTAACAGCCCGCGTTGAAAGGTTCTCCAATTTCATTAACTTTCTCATGGCAAGATTTAAGCTCAGGCTCTAAAAAGGCATTGCGAATCCCACAGCCAACTGCATCACTGACTTTGTCTTACATCACCCAACTCAATTTAATAATTGTTCCTTACATGAATACAGTGGTGAAAGTTGTGAGGTTTGATTAATAATAATCAGCGCCTTGGGACGTCCTCCCGACATGAAAGGTGCTATAAAATTGTAATTTTGTTGTTGTTGTTGATATAATAGTAATTATTGCTGTGCGCAATTGGCTGTCGGTTTTGCCCACAAAATACACAGTTTACAGTATATTCTGTGAAGCGCTTTGAGAAGTCTCAATGACCCGATAAGGCGCTATATCAAATGCAAGGATTATTATTATTAATAATAATTATTATTACTGCCTTGGATTGCTTAGGCTCGACACATCTCTGGAGTCGGCAAAGATCAGAGGTGTATGAGCGTCAGAGCCTGGAATTCATTTAACAGAGAACCAGTGTTAAACTGGTATCCTGAGCAATGGCAACTCCAATGTTGGCCTCAGCAGCCGAGGGCTCAAACACTGTGCTAAGGTCAAGGGGAGGAGGGTATACTCAATAATCAAAGACAGGTATCAACTGCAATTTTCAGCTGTGCGATTAACACAACACACATTGCAATTTCCACTCCATAAAATGGTTATAAAACAAAAGGGGGTGTATCCACTGGTAGCATCTTTCTGGTGTAGAGTAGATGTTACCAGTAGATACAGCTATCAAAAAAGATTGGACAGGTGGGAGCTTTCCTATCCGGAGATGAGAAGATTGAGAGGGGACAAGATAGAGGTGTTTACTATTGTTAAAGGATCCAGTAACAGGCTGGTTTATCTGAATGGCAATTCAGATCAGCAAATAATAATAACAAGAAAATTGCATTTATGTAAGGCCTTTCAAATCAGGAGGACGTCCCAAGGCACTGGACAATGAAGAGTTTGCACCCAATCTGCGGTTTGGGATCAGGGAGGGGTGGAGGGCAAGGGGGGGGTGGTGGAGGAGGAGAGATGACCGAAGGCACGGTCAAAAAGGAAGTTCTTGAGATAGGCCTTGAAGGAGGCCAGGGAGAGGGCGGGGCAGAGGAGCTCCGGGATGGAGTTCCAGAAGGTGGCGACAGAAAGGCTGAAGGTCTGATCACCGATAGTGGAGCAAACAGAGCAGGGGAGGTGGACAGGTTGTTTAAAGTTTTAATAGGTCGCAGAGTCCTGTAGCTCAGTGGTTAGAGCACTTGCTTTGCAAGCGAGAGACCTGAGTTCAATTCCAGGCAGGTCAGGGCAAAACCTTGGGCAAGTTTCCTTACTCCACACAGAGCCTAATAATAATCCCTCCAAAACCAAAAACAATAATAAATTGGTCATTATCAATCTACGACTGTTTGTGGGACATTGCTGTGCGCAATTGGCTGCCGCGTTCGCCCACAAATATACAGTCAATTCACTTTACAGTGTGTTCTGTGAAGCGCTTTGGGACGTCCTCCCGACGTGAGAAGCGCTATATCAAATGCAAGGATTATTATTATTATTATTATAGAGGTAGGGAGGATTTGGCCTGGTTTTGTACAGGGAGTGATGGCCTTAACCTCGCAAAGGAGCCTGACCCCTCTGTGTGAACCATTATCTGAGAGTTAAAGTATTGAAAACACCATGTAAAACAATGGTCTCTCTTCAGATTTGGAAGGTGGGGTGGGAGGGGGAGAGAGAGAGCCTGTGTATAAACACATCACTCAGACGTTGGACCAAATGGCCTGTTTCCATACCATAGCATACGATGCAACTCGATGTAAGTCATGAAAAACCCATTCACTAGCAAAAATGTAGTGTTTGTCTTTGAAGATTTATTATCATCACCATGAAATTACATTGTGTCAGATTTAATTTACATAAATTAGTCCATCACAGGAGGAATTTTACAATACTTAAAACAAAGTGTAAACTGTTACTTTGCAGGAACAGTAGTGTGTTCTGTTATACGCTGACCGCAATTTAATTTATGTACAATCTGGGCATTGAAAGTTGAAAGATTTTCCCCCTCCCTTGTTTAGTTTTAACACTCAGCATATACTAATAAATGTAGGACAACGTCTTAACTTAGTGGGCATTAACCCTTGACAATCTACACATTACAAAATACCAAATAATATTTAAACACACCAAATAAACATTTCATTTACAATAAGGTTTGACAAAGTATTTATCTTTACATTTGGCAGCTCGTGTTCTAGTTAGAATGGGGGTGGCAATTCATTGGGGTTATTGGTTACTGGGAGTGAGATTACTGTCTCAGAGATCCAACCTGGGTCCTTTCTAGTATATACAGCTTAGTTTCATCCTGGACACAGGGTTTGTCAACTGAGCCATCAGAGCAGCTAATTTTCCACACGTTAACGTGTATCAGATGTGGTTGGCGCAGCTTGGAGCTTTCCAGGTAGCTCTTTGTATCGTTGATCAAATCCAATCTTTAAGGAGTCTGTTGCCCCATGCTAACAATCTCGATGTAGTAATCTGCCTTCCCACATATGCTATGTGATCAAACTACATGTACGGCGACTTCACAAAATGTCTGTGTGTAATTCACTAAATGTTTGCATGTAATTCACGCAACAGACAGATGTAATTCATGAAATTAATATGTCATTTATCAAACAAAACTAAACCGATCTTTTAAATCCCTGATTAATATGTTATTCAAGGAATCTGAAAAGCAGGTAGCACTTATAGAACTGGGTGTCCAAGGCATTAAGGTACCTGTGCTCCCAAGGTTCATATACACAGTCACTACACTTTACAGTGTATCCTGTGAAGCGCTTTGAGACGTCTTGAAGATGTGATAAGGCGCTATATTAAATGTAAGGATTATTATTATTATTATTTAACATGGCAATGCACTTAGACATTAATTATGACAATACTAGGTCCAAAATATTCCTTTAATCTTTCAGTGCAATTGACTGCTTCTTACTATCAAAAGAAAGATCGGAAGGAATAACCAACGATCTGTAACTTTAACAAATCACTGGTCTACACCTCATGTGGCATTTTCCCCCTTGAATGAATGGGGTACTTTGGTTCAGATTGGCCTGCCTACTGAGGTTCTTGGCAGACGGGGGAATGAATAAAAATTAAAACGCTTACAAATCAAATAGATAGAGTGTTTAGGTTAGAGAATGCAAGGGTGGGTGTTAGATTTAGAAACTAAACGTTTGAATGCTGGAAATCCCAGGTCGAAACAAAAAAATGTTAGAAATGTACAGAAGTTTGGTCACCTTCTGAAAGAGAAAGGTTGATTGCTGCTTTGGGCATCATTCTTCTTGGATGGATTCCGTTATGAAAAGGCAGCATTCTATTAACCCGGTCTCAAAAGCAACTCAAACAAAAGGATTAACGTAACTGTACAGCAGACAAATCATCAACTGAAAGAGAAAGGCAGGTTAAACATTTCAGGCCTGACTCTGACTCCGAAAGGGTCTGGGCCGAGATCAAGGATCTAAGTGCATGTTTCGACGGACATTACAGATGAAAATCAAGCATTAAATAGCACAGAGAACTTGTAAAACATAAAACACTGTGTTATTCATAGCATGCTCAGACGTAGGTTAACAATTGGTGACAGTTACATAGCAAAAAGATGCTCAATCCTCGTCCTTGCAGTCATGGACTAGTAGGGCCAAATGGCCTGTTTCCATGCTGTATGATTCTATGTAATTTAGATGTACTCTGAAAGGATAAAAAAACAGAAAGACTACTGATGCGTTCTGTACACATTAAATAGTTTCATGCCACTGAAGGTTTGTTGACGAAAGGGTCTTTAAGTGCCTGATAACTGGTTTCTTCGGTTTCGACTTTTCCTTCGATCGATGAGCACCTTTAATTTGGAGTGATCCACTCGAATCGACGGCACCTCTTCATTTTGCATCTGTCGGAGACGACTCTCTTTGCAGTACTTATTGATGGCTTGCATTTCCGAGTAGCTGAATAGTCCGACCAGATCCTTCGGAAGGACCTGCAAACCACTGAGGCCATTCGACGATCCCCAGGGCCACGGAGTCTGTTTGTTAACCACCGAAGGCACCAGGTTCACGTCAACTACCTTCAGGTTGATCTTCATCACTGTGCTTTTGAAGGTGTTTTCAGTAGCGATGCAGTGATAAAACCCTTGGTCGGAGCTTTGGGTGGAACGAATCAATAGGCCGTGCTCAGTTACGACAATCCTCTCGTCTTGCTTTATCTGGTAGGAGAAAAGATCATCATTTTAAAAGGCAGAGATAGAGTCTCTGGAACTCCCTGCCTCATTCCTTTCACCTTGTCCCCTCTTTGCCCATCTTCAGATCACATTTGAAGACTTCCCACTTTGATTCTACCTAAGGTCACCTCTCCTTTCTCCCCAACTCAGTGCCAAACTGTTCAGCGCTCTGAGACACTACCCCACGTGAAGGGCACTGTATAAATAAAAGTTTTTGGTGGTCTTGTTTATCGCAAAGCTCGAAGAGAACTTCTGTGATAATATGGCTGAATTGAAGAATTTTCCAATATTCAGCACAATTTAGTATTTTTATAGCAATGGTCTTAAGGCTAAGAGCAGGAGAAATTCTGGGCCTCAGACTATTGAACAAAAATCATTAATTCACCTGTTAACAAATCAGTCCATAGCAGAGAACTGCACTAACCTGACTGTCCTCCTGACGTTAAACACGCTGTATAAATGCAATTTGCTGTTGTTGCTGTTAGATGCAGTGATCTACTTCCAGAACTAATCTTTGCATTTGATATGACGCCTTATCACCTCGTTGAGACGACTCAAAGCGCTTCACAGGCCCTGTAAATTGAATTGACTGTATTTTGTGTGCAAACCGTGGCAGCCGATTGCGCACAGCAGTGTTCCAAATTGAGTGACCAAATTATTATTATTATTATTATTTGAGGCATTATTACCCCTGGAAAGTGATTCGACAATCGAATAACAACTGTACCTGCTCACTGCTAGGTAAACAAAGGTGTGTGGAGTAAGAAAACTTGCCTGAGGTTTCTCCCCCACTCTGGAAATCGAACCTGGGTGCTTTCGCTTGCGAGGCGAGTTCTTTAACCAATACGCTACAGTCTCTACTTATTAAGGAATGGCATTAAGAAATACTGTATTTTACTGCAGAATGCTCATTTTATTGAGCGCCAGTTTCTTGGGAGTTCACTGCTATTGTGGGATCTTATTTAAAGAGAAAAATAACACCAGGCCAACAGTCAGGTATTTGCTCTCTGGGCGGAATGAAACTGTTAAATGAAGTGGAAAGAGGTTTGGGCAGCCTCATGTTATTAGGGCCTGTTCAAACAAGCTATCCCCATCTGTACTGTAATTGCTAGAATGGACCACATGCCAGAATCCTGAAGTGCGTTATTCTGGAGTCATTAGCCTCTTCTCATTGTTCAGACAGTGATGCATCTTCTGCAGGAATATATACCTCCTTTCTTCGATCATTTGGCTTCTGTATCAGCCATCTGACGGAAGCTTGGGGTGACTTTGGCATACATTCAAGGAAGGCGCTGCTGTTTTTCACTCCGTACTGCACAGACTCCTTCGCATTCCTGTAGGCTGAAAAACACGCGTATGTCATTGAAATGCCACTGATTTATGCCATGTCCTGTACTAAAGTCTGAGCCTGGTACACAAAGCACGAGAGATCCTGCTTATTTGACAAGTGCATTGAATAATAATAATCATCATCCTTGCATCCTGGCCCTGCCCAGGAATCAAACTCAGGTCCTCTCGCTTGCGAGTGCTCTAACCAACACACTACAGGACTCCACACAATATAATGTATTATAATATAATATTATATAATATAATATTATATTATAATATTATATTATAATATTATAATATTATAATATAATATTATAATATAATATAATATAATATAATATAATGTGTGGAGTCCTGTAGCTCAGTGGTTAGAGCACTCGCTTTGCAAGCGAGAGACCCGAGTTCAATTCCAGGCAGAGGGCGAAACCTTGGGCAAGTTTCCTTACTCCACACACCTAATAATAATCCCTCCAAAACAAAAAATAATAAATTGGTCATTTTCAATCTACGACTGTTTGTGGGACATTGCTGTGCGCAATTGGCTGCCGCGTTCGCCCACAAATATACAGTCAATTCACTTTACAGTATATTCTGTGAAGCGCTTTGGGACGTCCTCCTGACGTGAAAAGCGCTATATCAAATGCAAGGATTATTATTATTATTATTATTAATGTATTGAAGCCGCGGACTTTACTGGAGAAAATACAGAACACATGAGGCAGAGTCACAGAATAGGAATATTATCACATGAGATGGCTGACTTGAAAAGTGATGAGTGACTTTGGGTCAAATGCTCCAAGTGAGATATGATTCACATAATTAGTATTTGTTCTCCTTGGGATAATGGTTGCATAATCCTATAGGCAAAAAGCTAACATTGAAATGAATCAAAGGAAGTATTCATTTTAAACAACATTTATATTTAAATAGCACTCTTCACGTAGGATAACATCTCGGAGAGCTTCACAATGACTGGGTCGGGCACCGAGCAAGGGAAGAAGCGGAGGTGACCGTAAGAGTGGACAAAGAGGTAGATTTTAAAGTATGGCTTGGAGACTTGATAGAGGAGGAAGTGCGGAGGCGAGATGGAGAGGCCAGGAGTTCCAGAGGTTAGGGGTGTATTAGCTGAAGGTTCGGCCATCAATGGTGGTGCGGGGGGGTGGGGGGTGGGGTTGGGGTTGCAACGTGACCAAGTTCGCCAAGTGGAGGGGACAAACAAGGAGTAAGGTAGGAGAAGATCAGAGAGATAGGGAAAATGTTAGGGAGTGAAGGGACTTATAGAAAGAAGAACTGCACTGATGTTTACATTGATGAGAAATGTTACCATGAACCAGGGATTTTTTTCGTTTTATTTTCCCTCCTAACATTATGTCGTTAGAATTGAAGAGCTGAACACGTCTCCATTCAAACACATCGCGCTTGGGCTCTGCAGGGGGAGATTGGAACTGGGTGTTCAAAAGGGGATAGTGTTTCTGCCTCTCAAGTATTTTCTTACAGTCCTGAACAAGCCCTTTTCACCCAGGAGGGCTGTGAGTGTAACCTGACAAAGCAGCACAGAAGTTAAAATGAACAAGAACCACTCGCTGCTGAAAGGTGCCCTGGATTTTTTTTAATAAAAACAGTGAGGAGCTCAGCGGTGTATGCTTTCACTTTCATAAACGTTCAGGGTTATTTTAATAGACCTGACCCAGTCTCCTGCTCCTTTGTCACTTCCCATTTATCAACTCTGTGTGTTTCTCCGCCCAGCAGCAGGAGAGTAGCTGCAGACACCGCTGGGCTCCTTTCCGTGCTAACACTGGTCTGTGTGTCAGCGAGTGAGACCTATGTGTCCATAGGATGAGTTAGGCTGGAATGTAATGTTTTCCCACAGCGAGAAGCCCAGTTAATATGTCTGGAAGAGCGAAAGTCCTGATACAGTATATGGTTACCATAGCGGGAGGCTGTTCATTGGTGCTTTTATGGTAGTTTATTAAATGCTGCAACAGCAAAGGAACCTAATCTTAGTCTCGTCAATCTCCAACTTGCTGTCCCATGGTAAAATGTTCCTTACCAGAGACTCCAAGTTTCTTAATATTAATAATATTAATACTAATAATCCTTGTACCGACTGTATATTTTTAAGCGATCAAATAGTTGAGATCTAAGTTTTAAAATTCATTGATGTGCAGAATTTTGGAAAGAAATCTATAAGTGGAAGCTGATTTTCTGCACTTCTTAGAAAGAAATGTGGAAAATTGGTTATATTAGGAAGATTTCAAGATCAGCAAAATACTAACGATTTCACAATCCTTTCACAATGCTGAGCCATCTCGACACGTGTTACTGTAAAGCGTAGTGAGTATATTTGCAGGCAAATGTGGAAGCCAAACAAAATGAGTTTTGGAAATGCTGGTAAACGACAAAAAGTTAAACCTAATATTTAAACCCTTATCAAGGTACTGAATTACCTGTTGAATAGCTCCATTGTATTTGCATTTATTACCTTGGTATGGTAACTGATTCCAAAAATAATTATCAGTATTTCAGTAAAGGCAATTTTGCCTCATATCTGTGGTAAATGTACTTTTCACTTATTTCAAATTATGTTCCCTGGACCTGCTTTGAAGTCTGGTTTGACCTTATCTGATACATTTATTATTTTATACACTTCGGTGAGCTTCCCATTAAAATATTTTACCCAGGATGAAAGTTTATTTTTTCCAAACTTTGCGATTGAGCTTCTTTAAACCCATGAACGTTAAAGATCCCACAGCACTACTCGAAAAGAGAAGGGAATTTCTCCCGGTGTTCTGGCCAACAAACTCCCTTGGAGTCCTGTAGCTCAGTGGTTAGAGCACTCGCTTTGCAAGTGAGAGACCTGAGTTCAATTCCAGGCAGAGGGCGAAACCTTGGGCAAGTTTCCTTACTCCACACAGAGCCTAATAATAATCCCTTCAAAAATCAAAAACAATAATTAATTGGTCATTTTCAATCTACGACTGTTTGTGGGACATTGCTGTGCGCAATTGGCTGCCGCGTTCGCCCACAAATATACAGTCAATTCACTTTGCAGTATGTTCTGTGAAGCGCTTTGGGACGTCCTCCCGACGTGAAAAGCGCTATATCAAATGCAAGGATTATTATTATTATTATTATTATTATAAAAATGGGCATTCATTTTGTAGCCGTTTGTGGGACCTAGCTGTGCGTAGACTGGCTGCCTCATATGCTTCCACAGTCACTACACTTACAGTAAATCCTGTAAAGTATTGAGACGTTCTGACAATGTAATACGATGCTCTATCAAATGCAATTTGATGTGGTATATCAAATATCATATTACATTAAACTTGGGGAGCATTCTAAATCAAATGCATTAACTTGTTGATTAAACAGAACTGAACCTAATATTTGGGATCAGATTACCATCAGGTTCCAGACTATCTTCTGTAGAATTACATTTACTGTTTTGGGTGTATATCCTGGCAATCTATTAGTCTTGTAATTTTGTTTATAGTATCATGGACATGGAACTCTCACGACTGCTATTATTTCCAGGACTCTTCTATATCTCCCTGCCAAATTTGATTTCATTTGTTGCATTCTTATGATCGAAATGTTTCTGCCTGTGTATAATACATCCATCAGCGTTAAATTCACAAAATCACAAGGTCGTACCATTTGCCGTGTATCTTCTAGCTTATATAATGAGGCTTATTTTCGTTGTGAAAATTTCTGCTGAGTGTCCTCTGCCTCTAATGCCTCCCATTTCCTTCAGTTGTTACCAAATCTGACCACTTTATAGATGGTTCCAGATACCAGATTTAACATGTGCAAGCGACTGCCAGATGGTGGAAGGTGAACGAGATGGACCTCAGTCTCCTTTCATCTAACAATTCTTATGTTCTTGTGTTCAGATTATTTATGTAGACTTAAACACTTTAGGACATAATAACTGCTAGGTCCTCTCAACCCCCTCGCCAAGGTCTGACATTTACACACCTCAGAAATGTTCTTTTTTTTCAAACCTGTTAGAACCCGGCATTTAAAGCACTGAAGGAGGCCATTCGGCTCATTGTGCCTGTGCTGGCTCTCTAAAAGAGATGTAATTATCCTTACGTTTGATACAGCGCATTTCATTTCAAAGCAATTCATAGGATTCACTGCAAAGGGAAGTGACTGTATTTTGCAGGCAACCTCACCAGCTGATTTGTGCACAGCGATATCCCACAAACAGCCGTGAAGTGAGTGACCAATTTTTACTCTGGGGATTGTTGGCCAGCTCTGCTTTTAATCCCATTCTCCTGTCCTTTGCTCAAAACCCAGTTATTCATTCAACCCAATGCTCGGCCTCTGATTCCTGTGACCCTAACCCTGCCTATACGATATGAATCGTCCTGATGTTATTGACCAGCCACCACCAAATGTGCCTTTACAATACAATGCAAAATTACATTATATAGCGCCTTGGGAGGACGTCCCAAGGCGCTGAGAGACCTGGTTTACAAACTCTGTCTCAGGCAGACTCTGACTTGAAGAGTGCGTGGGTGGAGCAGTCAGTGGAAACCCTGGCAATAAAGGTAACAACAGCATTGATCCCTCTGCTAATGTAACAAGCAACACACATTCATAACATCCAGGCTTGACTATGCAAACTCCTTTCTTGTCGGCCTCCCCAACTCCTCCCTCTAGAGGCTGCAGGTCATCCAGAACTCTGCAGGCCGAGTCCTCTCCTGAAACAGGCTCCGTAACACTATCATCCCCATCCTCGTCCAACTCCACTGGCTTCCCATCACACAGAGGGTACAGTTCAAGATCTTGGTCCTTCCTTTCAAAGCCCTCCTTGACCTTGCTCCCCTCTACCTTGGCAACCTCCTAACCCCCTACCATCCTGCCCACTCCCTCCGCTTAGTGGGCTCCGCACTACTTCATGTCCCCGCTTTGCCCGCCTCACTATTGGTGGGTGGGCTTTCAGCCACTCTGCCCCCACCCACTGGAACTCCATCTCACAGTCCCTCCACCTCGCCCACTCCCTTGCCTCCTTCAAGACCCACCTCAAGACGCCCCTCTTCGACTGTGCTTTCGATCGCTCTGCTTCCCCCCTGCCCTCCACCCTCCCCAATCCCGACCCCCAGCTCGGGTCCGAAACACTGACTGTCCAGAACCTTGGGACGTCCTGCCGACATGAAAGACGCTATACAAATGTAATTTTATTGTTGTTATGTTTATTATGTATTACATTTATGGCTTTTAGGCAGATAAGAACGTTGCATTCTGCATAAATTTCAGCAATACGAACAGGGCGGGGGCGTCCATAAAAAAATTAAACTGGCGCCAGAGCTTGCACAGAAGCTGGGGCCTTAGTTTGCCAGGAGCTGGGAATGGTTCCAACGCTTGCTGTTCTACGATGTAAAGAAAGCTTTCCTTTCCCAACCCGAGGTACCAAGTGCTGGCCAGAAACAATCTCCCGCTGGTCGCAATAAAGTGAACAGTGCGCTCGGAACTGTGTGACCTGAATCCCAAATGCCTAAGGATGTCTGCAAACAGAGCGATAGACAAAGAGACGGATATCCCGGTATATCAAGCTTGCATCTGTATAACATTATCCCCGCAGAGTCAGGAGTTTGCTGTAGTATGGTATGAGCTTCCATGAAGAGTCAGCATGGGTCAGTTGGTAGCACTCTCAACTCAGAAGGTTGTGGACTCAAGCCCCACGTCAGGACTTTGAGATCATAGTCTAGGCTGACAATTTGGCGCTAAGGGAAAGTGCTACATTGTCAAAGGGGCCGTGCTTTCAATGAAACATGAAACTGAATCCAGTTCGACATTAAAGATCCCATGGCGCTAATCAAAAAAGGGAAGGGAGTTTCTCCTAGTGTCCTCCAGATTGCAAATTGGCTGCTGTTTTCTACAAACACGCACTCATTAAACATTACATAAACTGCAATGTGTTTTGAGACATTCCAATGTCGTAAGCGATATATCAAATACAGGGAATATTATGATTTAAACTTTCTACCAACAAGTTCATTGTGTTTAGTGAGCTTCGGAGAAACAGTACCCCAAAGAATTTATTATCTAGTTGATCACATCAGCCTCTGTAGACTTTAATGTTTAATTCCAAATGAACAGAAAGAGTCTTCTAAGAAAAAAGTTGGGATATGTTATGGTACACTAATGTAGTACTGGAACTAGAATGAGCAAGGGAAGAAGCCCAATTATTGTTTTACTGTTGGCATTAGGCTTTCTTGTGGTAAACAGTTCAGTGGGATTTCTAAGATGTTAATAATAATAATAATAATAATAATAATAATTCTTGCATTTGATACAGCGCCTTTCAAATGGATGGAGGCTGTCCTCAAACATTTTGTTGTGAAGGATGGTGACTATGTATTTTGTAGGCAGACTGGGCAGCCAATTTGCACACAGCAATGTCCCACAAACAGCCACAAAGCGATTGACAACATTTTACTTGAGGGATTGTTGGCCAGCACACTGGTAGAAACTCTGTTTTCTTTTCGAGTGGTACCATGGAATCTTTAAGGTCCACTTGAACATTGGATAGGATTTCATTGTGTAGTCTCATTCTTGTAGGACAGCACCTCCAAAAATACAGCACACTCTAGCATTGCATTGGCATGTCAGCTTAGGTTATGTGAGTTTTAAGTGCCAAAATGCTACCAACTAAGCCATGCTAACTCCCAAATACTGGTGTAAGCAAAGAGAACATATTGCAATACTCACCTTTCAAATTGAACCCTCTGCATTGAGTTAATGGGTTTCCGTGTCTCACATCCTGTCTACGGCTCCTCCTGAAACCAAACAAGAAGACAAGTTCCAATTTTAAAAGAAAGAAGACCACGATTCTCTGAGATATCCAGTGGAGCTGGGGATGACACAGGTATATCAAGAAAAAAAATGTTATAAAACTGCTGAATAAAAATTGTTATTACTCAATTCTAAGAAGCAGCTACAGGAACACATGGACAGGGAGCTCAGTCTGTCTGGTCAGGTGGAACGATAACAACTTGTATTTATATAGCGCCCTTCACAAAGGATCTCAGAGTACTGAAAGAAGAGAGGGTGAATGCCAATTAAAGGAGAGGGTAGTGGGGGGCTCAGGAGAAGGCAGAGTTGGTCATAAGCAGAGAAAGGTGAGTTTTAAAGCTGTAGTTAAAGCCGGGTGGAGAGGAAGCAACATGGCAGGTTTGAGGGCGGGATTAGGCACGCAGAATCTGCGACCGATGGTAGTGAGGAGAGGGTGGGATATGTGCATCAAGCCGAGCGAGAGAGTGAATAGAGGAGCAGGGGCAAAAATCTTTGCACTTATATAGAGCCTTTCACATTGGGAGGACATCTCAAATTGCTTCACAGGATATACCGTGAAGTGTAGTGACTGTGTTTTATAAATGAACTCAACAGCCAATTTATACACGACCCACAAAGCTTGTAGCTGATTTTATTTGGGGGGATTGTTGGTCAGGACACCATGAGAAACTCCTTTCTCTTTTTGAATGGGTGCCACGTATTCGTTAACATTAACCTGAAGAAACAAACTGTGCCTCGGTTTAATGTGTCACCTGAAGAACGGCACCTCCAAAAATGAAACACACCCCCCAGCACTGCATTGGAGTGTCCCCTAGATTATGCAAGTTCAAATGCTGCGGGGCTTGATTGCATGGGCTTCTGACTCAGAGGTGAGAATGCTACCAACTGAGCCAGGCTGACAAGAACCACAGAGATGAGGCTGAATGACTTATTGCTGTCTCTCTTATCTTCCGTTCTCAACCTTGTTTTTTTATTAGCCTCTTACTCTCAGTGCTGTGAAGAGCCAGAGCGCTGGGAAGAGTAGTGCAGTCTTTCCCAAGTCTACAATGTTAAATTGGATTTACAAGTCAACTGGTATATGTTCTCCCTGCAGTGGGAATATCGTCAATTCCCCATTCCTATTACTGGCCTCACTGAAGACTGACAAGTGTTATTCAAGTAGAAGGCCAGTAAAGTGGTGAGGCTTCATTTGGCCGGATTGAACAGCATATCCAGGGCTGCAATCATAAAGGTGTGAAGGAAGTTCCCCAATATTACTCCACGGTATCAGCCTTGACTGGCAACACTTGCCATGATCATTTATGGTGTAAATGTGAATTATATTAGTGTGAATGAACCTTTTACAGTCTGAACAAGCTGTTACTTCACATGGGTAACATTGGGAAGCAATCATTCACAGATGTGTTGTGGTACCTCGTCCTTACGTGTGGCCCCGGTGGTAGTATATAGGGTGGCACCTATTGAGAAAAGCTCATTAAAAAAAAACAGAACAAATCCCCGGAGGGCAGTGGATTACATCACTCGCTGAGTAGCATGAAAGGTTCATTCAAACACAGCTCTGGCACGCTAGAAAATGGAAGCATTCCCAGCCTTTCACATGAGAAAATATTCCTACATTCAATGGAGAATCCATGTACAGCAAAGAACTCTTAGCAACTAACATTTGCTGGTTCGGGTGCATTGTTACTCTCTGGGCGGTTGATGCTCTTTTTCTGGTTCCCTGCTAATGTTTTGGTGCATTGGGTACCAGGAACCCACAGTCAAGAAAAATGCTTACGATGTTAAGGTTTTTTTTGTTGTTGATGGAAATATAAGGATTTGAAAAGATGGTGGCGGAAGAGTAAAACAAAAATAATAATATTCATCCTTGCATTTGATATAGCATTGTATCACATCGTCTTGGCTTCTCATAGCACTTCATAGGATATACTGTAAAGTGTAGTCACTGTGTAGTTGTACGTAATCCAAACAGCCGACTTACACACAACAATGTCTCACAAACAGCCATGTAGTGAATGACCAATTATCTCGGAGGGATTGTTGGCACCTTTCTCTTTTCCAAAGTGCCATTGGATCTTTAATGTCCAGCTGGATAGGCAGATGGGACATTGGTTTAATGTCTCATGGTAAGGACAGCGCCTCCAACAATGCATTGGAGAGTCAGCCTACACCATGAGGTCAAAGTCTCGACATGGCAATTGAATCCACGACCTCCTGCCTCAGAGGTAAAGTGCTACAAATGAAGTGAAGGGCCAGGCTGACACCACATGTAAGCGGGGCAGAAAGAAAATGGTTAACAATAGAGAAGTGAAAAAGGGAGACCAAGTCAGGCTGAATCAAATACAATAACTCGTCCCTGGCTTAACTTGTCACTACCGTTTAAGTCATAGTGCTCTCACTATCCCATCTATATTTATTTATACACATGCCTGACTCATAACTTCTAATAACTCGTCACTGAGTCCTTTTCCCTTGGAGCCATGAGTTAAGAGGAATTTACTTATTATTTTTAAAAATTAAAATGATCTTCTAGATATTTTTTTTTGTTTGTGTTAGTATTATATTAATAAATAACTCAGCAGCTTTTTGTTTACTATAATATCAATAGCATTGTTTGTTTCGGTATGACAATCTTTGTGTTGCAAACTTCCAAAACAGTTGACTCAGGAAGGCAGGAATTTCCCTTGACCTGTTGGTTTATAAGCATTAACATCTGCTGCTTACAGTCAGCTCACTCAACAATGTCATTTTGAGAGGAGAACAATTGTTGCAATCACTTCTAATATATTGTAGATTAAACATGTGAATAACTGCTGTCAGCGCAACACAGAATCAAAAGCAGTGCCTTTCGCACGTGGGGACGACATCTCAAGTGCTTGACAATGTTGGCTGGGCAACAAAAAATGAACAAATTAAAATCCATAATTGAAAGGTCAAGTACAATACTTAGTGTTTTGAGTGAAAATACTGGCACACGAACAAAATTGTTAATGCAGTAACCAATGTTCCTCTTACCTTTTACCAGTGAGGTAGAACCTGGAGCAGGATTTGCCATCCCAAGCACAGTAAGGGTCCCTGGCAAGGCAGCAGTCAGCACAGGCTGCCCCATAGATATGGCAACGATGCAAAGGTATCTGGGCAATGCCCTCATCGGAGGTCACATACAGCTGTTGCTATTACAAAAAAGATTAGGGACAATGATTGATGGAAGGAAGAAGGAAGGAGAGAATATCGCACCCTTTCACTTGAAATGTCTCAAAGTGGTTTTACAACAATTTGCTAATAAGAATAGTGAAGTTTTCTTTGTGGGTGAACACAAGACATTTTTTTTATCACAGCGAGATCCCATCAACATCCAAGAGGAGAATGGCCAATTTATCTGGAGGATTGCTGGCTGAGGCACTGGGAGAAACTCCCTTCTCATTTCGAATAGCAACATGGGATCTTCACAAGATTACAAGATTGGTTTGGATGAAGAGGCCTTTATACAAAAAAGAATCCTGGCATTAATAATAGTGCCTTATCATGTCTTCAAGACGTCTCAAAGACGTCTTCAAGACTGTATATTTTGTGGGCAAAAAAAAAATATTTTCGTGCAGTCCTCCCATCACAGCATCAAGCTGACAGTGTCCTGACCTCAACCACACTTCCTGGCAACTGGTTCCAGTTATTAAGTAATTACCCTCTGGGTAAACAAAAACTTCCTGGTGTCTGTCCTGAAATTGCCCTTTGCAACTCTAAACCTATGTCCACTTGTTCTACTGACTTAGTGCATCCTAAAGAATTGTTCTGGGTTTACTTTTGGAATCCCATTTAAAATTTGGTACACCTCTATCAGGTGCCCTCTGAGCCGTCTTATTTCAAGACTCAAGAGCTCTAAAACGTTTAACTTGTTAGAGTTAACAATAATATAATGCTCCCCCAGCCTAGACTGTGAGCTCATGTCTTGAGGTGCGGCTTGAAACCGTAAGCTTCTGAATTTTTTTGAATAAAGTTTACAAAGAAGAGATTGTTTCACATTTCAAATCAGCCACTGGCAGCACTCCTACCTATAACTTTCTGACTCAGAGGTAGGAGCACTGCCAATTACTGGCTGATCTGAAATGTGAACTGATTTATTTCTCTTCAGCAAAAAGCGATAAAAAACGCACAAGCAACATAGCTTCAGGTCATTTTTATTTGGGTCAGCTGGGTGTCTGCCACATGCAGAAATGCATCACCATCCTTAAAGGTATCCAAACTAAGCTGAGAATTCCACCTATCCCACCTCCACATGGGAATCCCCACGGATAGATTCTTGGAATGCAATGCGCCCTCTCTCCCTGCTTCCGGAAAGTATTAGACGCAGGTTGGTAGGAGCCAAGGCTTGGGGACCCCAGAGTGTGCATTGGGGTAACTGCTGGAGTCTAACCAGCTAAAACCGTACAGCTTGCCATTGATATTTCAGTTAATCTGTAGAGGACTTTCCAATGGCGGTTGACTTTTTTGTGTGTGAGGACACCAAGAAGTTAAGGCGTCCTTAACATTAAATTAATTTCTAAACTTTATCGGCAAATAAAGGTTTTTAAAATGTTTAAAATGTCCAAAAGAGATCCTATTCATAAACAAAAAAAATTTAACATTCCCATTATTGCTGTAAAACAAAAAGTTGATTCCTTTGTTGAATTTTATTGTTAGCCTGTCATTTTTCCAGCTTTTAAAACATCCTTTACCCACTTATGTCACTGTGCCTTAGATTGCAAAAAAAAACAAATTTGAGTGGAACTGATTTCATGCCAACCTCCTAAACTTTTGTAATGGAAAATGACATTATGTTGTAAAGTATTATTATTTCTGACTAGGAATGGGCTGCAGCTTTGTTAAAACAATAATAATCCTTACATTTGATATAGTGTCTTTCTTGTCAGGAAGACGTCTCAAAGCGGATTTAGCATTTAAAAACAGACGGTGGGAACGAGACAGGGGAGGGGGTGGAGTGAAGGAATTCCAAAGGTGGGGGAGTACTTGCTGAATTTTTACTGAAATTAGTGCCAGGCATATGCATATTATATGTGGATGCAAAATAACCAGAGGAGCTTTGATTTGCAAAATGAAGTGAAATCCTGCGAAAATAAATCAAATGCAATATGGTAAACTGATAATAATATGTTAAATGTTACCTTTTTGGATGAAATCTTCATTGTAGTTATGGGTGTTCGATTCTGTAAGAAGAAAACAGTTACAGGGTTATTTTAAATACAATCAGTTCCCACGACTGGGGGAATTAATGTCATAATAATCCTTGAGTCTGATATAGTGCCCTATCATGTCGTTGAAAAGTCTCAAAGTGAATCACAGGATTTGTACTGTCAAATGAAGTGACCGCGTAATTAGTTGTAGGTGAACAAGGTAGGTAATTTGTGCACAGCAATGTCCACAACCTTGAATATAATGACCAATTCTACCTTAGTTTCATTGGCCAGGTCACTGGGAGAATGTACTTGTGAGATAAGTTTCAATAGGGAAACCTGCCTTTTCTCAGCCCGTGTTTGTCGTGTTATACCAGAAATACACAATGGATTATACAAATTCCAACATACATCAAACACTGCAATGTCGCGAAGGAACTAAGGAGAGCTGGACTGAGTCAACCTCAATCTGCTACAACTCAGAAAAGAGCTACACAAACCCATTGGAAAATGATGGCAATTTTTGTGTGTGGGGGGGGGGTCAGCTGATGTCTGACGCATGTGAAAACCCACCACTGTGCTTAAGAGTATCTAAGACAAACTGAGAGGTCCGTGCATCCCACCTACACATGGAAATCCCAGAGACAGATTGCTGGAATGGAATGCTCACTCTCTCCCTAGAGGAACACATCATACTTACCCAGTTCCAGAAAGTATTAGGCGCAGGTTGGCAAGAACTGAGGCTTGGGGACCCCAGAGTGTGCGTGGGGGTAACTGCTGGAATCTAACCAGCTAAAACCGCATAGCTATTAATAGCACTGTCTGGCAAGCTTTCCCACTGCTTGTCCAGCTCGGACCACTCTACCTGTTAGGGTTTTGGTTTGCAGGGTTAATACGATGACAAGTAGGGCTACTTGAGGAGGAAGAGTTCTATTTCCTTCCACCCTCTGCACTGTGTTGTCTCCATGGAATCAACACAATTACCAAATGGTCTGAACTGTCAGTACTTATTGGTGCTTTCTTGACATAAATCAAACGGTGGAAAATATTCCACTTCGTGAGATAAACTACATGGCTCATAAAGCAAACATACTTCACAATATTTTCCAGCCACCCAGACTCTACCACAAGAGTGAATGGTACTCTCTATATATCTCAAGGAAGGATTATGTAATGACATTGTGCCTGGCTTGCATATTGAGACTAACGCGCGCTGAAAGCTTTAGAGATGAACCTTCGTTCCTAATCCAAAAGGCAATATAAATACTTTCCGCATGGCTACGTGGTACAGAAGTGAAACTGAGACCTTTTATTCTATTTACATGAAGGGTTAAATTCAATCACTAACGAAACGTCACTGAGTCACCAAGTGCAGTCTCGTTTTGCAACTGCTTATCGACAGATCGGAGCCATCTCACAGGATTTGGAATCATAACTTTTTCAAGAGGGAAAGGCTGAGCTGTTCACAATTTCATTTAAACTCTTGAAACTATTTTTTGGGGCAGTCCAACTATAGAAATATTTATCAATAAATATTTATCAATAATGACATCCTTAGTCATTTCGATTCCAAACAATGCACATTACAAACTGTTTCTAAATCAGCTGCAACCCATACTCCCGGAATTATTCCTGGGACAGGGAGGGATACTATATAAAGCGTATCTGATGTCTCAAAGCACTTCACAGAATATATTGTAAAGTGAATTGACTTTGTGGTTTCTGGGCGAAATGCAGCAGCCAATTGCACACAACCTTGTCCCACAAATAGCCATGGAGTGGGTGACCCAAATAATTTTTTTTTGCAGGATTATTATCCCAAGAAAGTGACCCGCCAAGGGACTCCTCACAGATCCACAGATGTACAATCAGATGTGCGATCCTATGTGCTAAAGAAGAGTCCAGTTCCAAACTTTTGTTTTAGGTTTCTCTCTCTCGCTGGCAAAACTATTTCAATTAAAATTGGAGACACTTGGCAGCTCAATTGTTCCAGTGGTTGAGCGTCTGGCTCTTAATCGGACGGTTGGTGAATGCATGTCCCCCACGTGTCGCCTGTCACTGCACTAGACAAGCTTCTGCTTTATTTAGCCATTCTGTGGTCCTACAAGTGTTATTAAGTGGCTTGTCATGCTTTGTCTGTTCTTCTTGCCAGCCAGTGGCAGCAGAGTTGCCAGCCCATCGTACTGTTCCGCACTGTTTTACATGTGCACTGGTCAGATTGGGCTAACTCTGACATGGTCTACCTTTTAGCAGCGCTATTGCTCAAAATATTACTTTAATAAAATGCATTGAACCTTGCATTTGATATAGGGCCTGATCACTTCGTAGAGATGTCTCAAAATGCTTCACAGGATTTACTGTAAAGTGTAGTAACTGTATTTTTTTAGGCAAACATGGCAGCCAATTTGTGCCCCCACAAATACTCTTGAAGTGAATGACCAATTTTATACTCTCTCTACAGAAGTGAAAGGAGTTTTTCCCAGTGCCCTGGCCAACAATCCCCCAAATAAAATTGGTCATAATCTCACCCACAAAACACACAACCACTGCACTTTACAGTTTATCCTGTGGTTCAGGAAGCTCTCCTGATGTGAAAGATGCTGTACCAAATGTAATAATATTATTATCATATTATTATTATAAAAAGGAAATTCTCTTCCCTAAATACAATCCGTTTCTGCTGACAGGATGAGGAATACACTACCCAATAAAACAATAGGAAAAATTGGAACAAATACAAGGTTAATGTATATTAGTTTACAGAAAGGATAGTAATATTTTTCTTATACACTGTATTCTTTGTTACTTGTAACAATGTAATAACAAACATCCTAGTGACAATGATAGGTTGTTTACTAATCCTAATAATAATTTTTATGCTTGATATAGCGCCTTTCACTTTGGGAGAACACCTCAAAGTGCTTCACGGGATATATTGTAAAGTCCAGTGTCTGTGTAATTTTTAGGCAAAGGCAGCAGCTAATTTGTGCACAGCAACGTCCCACGAAGAGCAATGAAGTAAATGACCAATTTTATTTCGGGGATTGTTGGACAGCACACTGACCCCTGCTTTTAAAGAGGAGGGAGACACTTCCTTCTATTTAAAAGGAGAATTCAGGTTTAAAACCCATTGAGTCGATTTCGAACTCTGTTCCCAAAGCCACCTCAGTCGATGGGTTTGTGGAAATGATGCATTGGCTGCAGTGTTTATATCGCAGCTGATTTTAAAAGAACTGCTTGAGGTTTAAAATCATTGGAATCTCCTTAAGTTTTTTTGTGTTATGCGACATATGGTATTAAGTACATGTTTTGTCATGTAGACGATTAAATCAGTCTCTTGTATCAGACACTGATAGCATGTAAACTACGCTCTTGCATATTAAATATAATCTGACCCAGTGGCTGACCCTGTGGAGATTCTCTGGAGCAGGTTTATTTTGTGGTGTCTCCGAGCACTTGTGGCAGAACCCCGAGAAACGGCACTTACTTACTTATTTACTTATTTATTTATTTAAAATCTCGTACACAGAGCACATCCATTATCCAGAAATCCGGATCTCGCATAAAGCACAAAAATAAATAAGACGGGGGAGTTATAAATAAACCATTACAAATAGTGCTATTTATCTCAAACAGTATCACTGTCTGCACAGTGTTAAAAGCCATATGGGTCCCGTGGGACTCCCAATCTCCACAACACTAAAAGCCGCAGCACACCACTTCAAAGCTTGAATGGTTTTACTGCCTGAAAAGAACTGAGGATCTTTGGGGACTTGTATAATTAGCAGCACGCTCTGTAAGGCGTGCCTGGTCAGAACCTGAAACAGCTGCTCGAACAGAAAGAAAAGACTGATCCTTTCCACATGAATATGCTCCACTGCGTCTTGTCATGTCTGTTTATGATTTGGCACAGCATTTCTGTTTTTTCACCTACAACTCCCGCCCACCCTCCCTTGAATCAGTTCGCAAAAGAATTCCAAGCCCATGACAAACGCTGCGCTGCATTATTTACCCGCTAATAGAATAATAGGGTCAAACCTTAAACACTTCCATTTCTTCCAAGATGAGCTCTTCGTTCGTCGATACGTTTTTAGGAAGAATCACAATTTTCTGCACGGTTCCTTTGTCTAAAATGAGTGTTAAAAAGAAATGGTTGCATTACCAAAGAAAATTGAAGAATGATTTAATTCTGAATCATGTTTTATGCATTATTCATAAAATTATATCAGGATCTCACATTTGCCATTTCCAAACACAGGGATCGCTTTGTCCTGTGCTTTCACCAAACAGTGTACATTTGATCCCAATAGAGTAAATTTGGCAGTATATTGCATATTGATCACTGCTAAAAGCCAGCTCAAGGCACCCCCATTACATAGAGTTACATACTATGATAATCCTTGCATTTAGTATCACGTCGGAAGGACGTCTCAAAGCGCCTCACGGGATTTACCGTGAAACAGAGTGACTGTGTATTGTAGAGTAAATCAGCAGCACAATTGTGCACAGAAATGTCCCACAAACAGCCACGAAACGAGTGACCAATTTTATTGGGGGGGGGGGGGATTGTTGGCCAGGACACCTGGAGAAACTCCCTTCTATTTTAGAATTGTGCCATGGGATCGCTAACATCCACCTGAACAGGCAGACAGACCTTGGTTTAACATCTCATCTGAAAGACAGTACCTCCGACAATGCAACACCCCCTGAGCACTGCATTGGAGTGCCATCTTTAGACTATGCGAGTTCATGTCTCGATGTTTGGATTTGATCCCACAAACTTCTGACTCAGAGGCGAGAGTGCTATCACTGTGCCAAGCTGACACATGGTTTAAGTTACATAGAGTTATATAGAGTGATACAACAACAATATTCAGGATAGCAGCTCAGAACATTAATATGGTGTGCAAACAGTCCATTTGGCCCAACTTGTCTGTGCAAGTGTTTATACTCCACACGAGGCCCCCATCTCCCTCCCTACCCACCCATTTCCCCTTTCCTACCTCTATTCCCTTGTCTCTCATGTATAGATCAAGTTTACTCTTAAATACATTGATGCTATTTGCTTCAACTACAGATTATCTACCAATAATAATCATATTAATAATAATAATCCTTGGATTTGATACAGCGCCTGATCAGGTCTTTGAGACATCTCAAAGCGCTTCTTCGATATCTAAAAAGGAGTAATTTGCACCTGAAACCCTCGTGCATGTGTTTGTCACCTTCCGCTTGGATTACTCAAATGCACTCCTCGCCGGTCTCCCCAGTTCCACTGTTCAAAAAATCCAGCTCATTCAGAACTCTGCCGCCTGCATACTAACCCCCCATTTCACCAGTTCTGGCCCAGGCTCCACTGGCTCCCCATCACCGAACGGATCGACTTCAAGATCCTCACACTCGTGTTCAAATCCCTTCTCTCCCTGGCACCTCCCTATCTCTCCGACCTCCTCACTCCCCAATCCACCACCCGGCATCTCTGCTCAAATGGCACCGGCTTCCTGCTTGTCCCTCCGCCCCACTATTGGAGGTCGCACATTCAGCCACTACGCCCCAAAACTCTGGAACACTCTGCCTCAATACTTCCATCTTGCCCGCTCTCTCCTCTTTTTCAAATCCCGCCTGAAAACCTTTCTCTTTGACCGTGCTTACAGCCACCTCCCACCTCCCATGACTTAGTGTCAGGCTCCACCACTGTTAAGCACTCTGAGATGCTACCCTGTGTAGAGGGTGCTATATAAGTGCAAGTTGCTGTTCGTGTTAACTTGCAGAGGTGTGGGGAATCCTAGTGTAAATTTGGCAAGCAAACATGAAGGGTTTGCTCAGTACTTCTTGATGAAAGTTGCCCCACTATAGTTGAATCAATCCCTTGTTGTGGCATTGTTCTTACCTGTGCCAAGAAAAAGGACATGATACCTCCCATCAGCAGCCTTCACCTGGTCGACTACTATCTTGGTGTATTTGTATTCAGCGTTGATCCTTACAATCAGAGGCTGTTTGTTGATCGGATAGATGGGGTTGTACATCATAGGGTGATTACGGACAAATGTAACCACTTCATCTGGGAAATCCTTGGTTGTCAACATGTTCGGTGTAAAAGCCCCCCCCGGGCACTAAGGAGCAAAGATTAACAATAAAAATATAATAATAATAGTCGCATTTGATATTATGCCTCTCACATCGGCAGGGAGACATCTCGAAGCGCTTTGCATGATGTACTGTAGTCACTCTGTGTATTTTGCAGGCGAAGATTAAAATGCGAAGGGAATAAAAGATAATATTTTTTAATAATAATAATTATTTGATATGCCTTTAATATAGCACCTCATCACATTGTCGAGACATCTCAAAGCGCTTCACAGGATATACTGTAAAATGCCTGTGTATTCTGTGGGTAGAAGAACTGTTTCATTGAAACCAACAATGTGACTGATGCTTCCTGGTTGAATTAGCTGTTGAAAAATATTTTCTCCATTATGGAACAATGCTGTTTCTGTGATTTTGTTTTACTGGTACCTGAGTGAGTGGATTTATTATCTGTGGTGCCTTTCCACTCTTGCTCCAGACAATCAGACATCTTTAAACAGTTAACGGTAAACATTTGCTGCATTCATCACTTAAGTGCAGTAATTATTAGTCTCATAAAGCATTCCAGGCAATCTGTACTTTAAACAGCAACATTTCAGTCATTTTAAACAGGCTGCAGTTTGGATAGAGCCCTACCCAATCCTCAGGGGTTTCCGGCCATACGTTAAGACTTCCAGCCCGATACAGAGTTCATGTCCTAACCTTGACTGACTTTGAAACCCAGAGAACTTGCTTAGTAGGCTGAGCTGTGCCAGCTTGCGGCAAGACTGACAAAGAAAGTATTGTGTATTGGTAGAATGGTTCTCTTCAAGGGGGATGAAAAGCTAGCATGACCTGCCCCACTGTCCAAGGGTGCATTTCCTATTAACTGATCATAATGGGGTAACATTATAGGCCTGAAATTCTTATCGGTCTTGATTGTTTAAGACCATTTTACGTTAAAATTAAAGAGATTTCACAGACTTGTCTTAATTTGGTCCTTTTCATGAACTGCGAAATACCGATGGCTCCGTTCACACTGAATTTCCACAATTCTGTGCAATCTGAAATCTTAAGGCAGAATGATCCCGTAGGCTAAGAATGGGTGGAATTTTAGCCCTTATATGTGAAATACCACCATTGCTCAGACTTTCGATGTTTTCCTTGCAATTTAAAATTTCATCCATGCTTTAGTGTTGGAGACAATCCTTGCATTTGATATAGTGCCTTTTCACATCGTCGAAACGTCTCAAAACGCTTCACAGAATATACTGTAAAGTATTAGTGACTGTATTTGTAGGCGAATGTTTATTGAAATAAATTAGCACGCACCTTTGAATCTTACAGGGAGTACATTGCAACATTCATTAGCGTATTGCATTATTAATTTCAAATGAATCAGATCAAATTATTTTGGTAGAAAAACATTTAATTTTTAGAAACTGTTCAGTAAATTCCTGCTTATTACAAATAATTTGGTGTTTTTTTAAATATAAAAACTGTGGATCGAGTGAAAGAGAGAGTGGATTGAGTTGTCATTTCATCAGCCCTTGTGGTGAACGAGGAATGAAAGGCATTTTCTTTTTTTCCATTTGCTGTCGGATATTGTAAACTCCTTCAGTTTTGTGGGAGATAAATGTTATCGTAAATACACTGGCATGTTCTTTCACTGTCTAAAGTTAAAAGCTTTTTAATCTTGCTATTTTGCAACAGCCTTCAATCTTTTTTTACTTCTGTTGCTTTCACTGAAATTTTAAGGGCTGCAGAAACTCCAGGCTTTTTGTAATGCATTGCAGGTGAATGGGAATTAACAACCCTCCAAAGTTGTTTTTTTTATTCGCTTCTTTTCTTCCCTTCTCCTCCCTCCTGGAGGACAAGGTTTCGCTGGTGTACAGTTCAACGGGCAACTTGTGAGGTCCAGTAAGATATCTAACACCGGCTTAGACATGATGGGCCAAATGACCTGCTTCTACTTTACTATAACTTGTATGATTCCAACACAGTGCAGTCCCTGTTCAAAAATTTGGTTTAAAATGTGGTTTCAATTTGGACCTCGCTCACTCGTCAAGCCCTCATCTGATCCCAGTTTGCTCCCTGCTCGCTGTCAATTTTCGCCCTAAAATGGCAGACTTCCAGGTTATTAGATCGCCAGCGACATCACTTACTGCCTTGTGCATGGATCACAAACAGGAAGTCATATTAGAAAAAACCTGATGACCTGGAAGTTGGCCATTTTTTCTTTAGTGTGGGAAGCCGCTAGCATGCAACAGTGAGATGGCGGCTGAATGCATGTACAGTCAAACCAGCTGTTGAGCTTCATTATAGGATTGTGACTTTATGGATCTCAACCACTGCATTCCAACAAGCCTTCACTGTACTATATTATGCAGCAGAATCCACGTAGGTCAATGCTCTTTGACTTACTGTGCCGGGTCTTGGATACGGAATCCTGCCTTGAAATGGAACATATTGATGGCTTGGTCCTTCTTTGTGAGCAAATGGTCCATTGAAGACGGTGTGAATATCAATCATATTGTAAACACACACTGCTGAGCCTTGGAAGACTGAGCTAAGGGAACAAGAGATAACAATAGTAATAATCCTTGCATTTGATATCGCGTTCCCAAAAAGGTCTCAAACGGCTTCATGGAATTTACTGTGAATTGTAGGCAAGCGTGTCAGCCAATTTGCGCAGCAGTGTCCCACATACAGCCTTGAAGTGAATGATCTATTTTATCTGGGGGAATTGTTGGCCAGGACTTGAAAGAAACTGTCTTCTTTCCTTGAATAGGAACACAAGACATTTTAATGTCCACCTGAACAGGAAGACGAGACCTTTATCTTCTAGTTCAAAGATGGCACCTCTGCCACTGTAGCACACTCCAAACACTGCGTTGGAGTGTCAACCTAGACTATAAGCTCAGTGTGCTGACAATGACATGTTCTGACCCATAACCTTTTGATCCAGAGGCAAGAGCGCTACTAGGTTGATAACATACATTTAAAAAGCAGTTTTTGTTTAGGTCAGCCGGGTTGTCTGATACATGTGGAAACCCATCACCGTGCTTGAGAGTATCCAAATCAAACTGAGGTTTCCATACATCCCACCTACACATGGAAATTCCAGAGAGAGATTGTTGGAATGGAATGCATACTCTCTCCCTGGAGGGACCATCCTGGTTACCTAATTCCAGAAAGTATTAGTCACAGGTTAGCCACAGCTTGATGCAGCAATGGGAGAACATTAGGGGGTGGGGTGGGTATTGTGGAAGGATGAGATCCAATGGGCCAAAAGGTCTTCTCCATCCGAACCAATCTTGTGATCTTGTGATGTTATTCAGGAGCTAAATTTGTATCTGCTAAAGAATATTTCAGTTCTATCCCTGTGTGTGTTTTGTCATGCTGTGCAGATCACTAACTCCTCTAAGCTATTCTCACCGATTCCTGAACAATTTTTCAACAGAAACAAAAGTGAAGTGATGTGAAAACCGATACTCTATAATGAATTACATTTCAAAAATCTCCTGATATTGAGTGAGAGTTTCTTTCAATACAAATGGAAAAAATTACACTTTCAGACAGATAGAAAACAGAGAGTATTATGCACATTCCCTGTGAAGAACTGCCTTGTTCCTATCTTGTGGACTTGAGTGCGAGTTTGCCAAATAAGTCAGAACCTTGGGAAATCCCTCCCAAAAAAGAGAATTACAGAGACTCTCGTCTGAGTTTAAGATGCATTGTAAGGAAGGCTCTAACTGGCATCTATTTAAGATCATCAGTAAAGGGGGAAATTATGATTTTTTAACACAGAGATTGTTAGGATGTGGAATTCCCTACCAGGTGCAGTGGTTGACGCAGGATCCATTATTATAATAATCCTTAACATTTGATACAGCGCCTTTTGCATCAGGAGGACGTCTCAAAGCGCTCCACAAGATTTTATTGTAAAGTGTAGTGACTGTGTATTTGTAGGCCGAATGCGGGACTTGAAGGTGCTACATAAATGTTTTATTTGATTACATCAAAACTATAAATGTTAAAAAAAGATTGTATCACAGAGTCGTAAAGAGTCGAGTGGCCTGCATATTATAAGGGTGAAGGACCACGGGGAGTGTCTTATGAACATTGTTGGAAAAACAGCAGCCAGAATCCAGTGGTAATCCATTAGCATATTAATGTTGTAACTGAGTACTTTTTGGTGGAGTGTGTACACATTGGGGCACAGATGGTCTCTCTAAAGCATAAAGGGCTTTCTCTGTAGAATGACTCTGCAGTAGTTCAAATTGTTTAGTATCATTCAGCAGCAGAAAGCACAAGCAGCGCTTTGTTGAGAATAATCACTCTGCGTTGGTGACTGTCATTTCTTTGTAAGTCAGTTTTGAGTCTCCATAGAAGGTAGTGAGGCTTTATTAAAATAAAAATGTCTTGACTGCACTTTGCAGAATGCTCCAGACACATAAATTGTCATGCGGTGGGGGGGGGCTGGGGTATTTTTACAAGCGTTCCACAAACTATACTTAACATGGTCGAAATAAATATCTCTCAATAAAAAATGCATTCAATATTCTTCGGGGGATGGAAAAAAAAGTTTGTAGAAAAAACAAACAGGTCTGAATTATATCTTTACCTTGAAGAGATGAAAATTCCGTAGACGAGGAGGTTCTTTGGATTTTCTGTTTCCAATAAAAACACATCCTCTGAGGCAAAAGAAAAACATGGAATTATTAGCCATTTTGTTGATCCTGAGTATTCCCATCAGAAATCCAACTGTGATATGAAAATGATAAATTCACGGATGTAATTGAGAAGAGAGAAAGGGGCTGATCGGATGAAAAGCTCAATGTCCTTTCCCAAACGAAGCAAGTCACTTTGTTTAGAAATTGGTTACTGATACGTGGTGATTTTCAACTGAGGTTTTTTAATAAAGAATCAAAGTGGCGAATCCTTCCAATAATGGAATGCACATTATGCCAATACTTGGGAGTTGTCTCCGAAAGTAAATCATGTCGGCCGGAGTTAGCGCACGTGAGCATGACATAATTCCGAGAAATGTATGACCATGTATTGGACCTCCCCATAATCGGCCAATTTTGCCTTCAGCAAAATTGCCACAAATTAACAATGAATCCTCTGTGTGTATATTGCTTTAAATGATCTGATGCTTTTGAGCTGACCTCTGGAACTCCTTCCTTCTGTACCTTTGTCTCGTTCCCTCTCTATCTGTCTTTAAATCCCACCTAAAAACCTATCTCTTTGACCGTGGTTACAAAATTATTATTATTATTGTTATTAGTTACCCCATACACACACTTTCACCCATCCTCTCTTCGCTTGCTCAGCGTCTGACCCTATCGTTGTAAGCCCTCCCAGACATTATTCTACGTAAATGAAAGCTGTTGTTGCTTTTATTATTGATGTGTAGCAAACAATTACAAAACAAAATAAAAATTGTACAACATTCACATAATTTTCAACTTCACTCGGTTCAATTTAAGAAAAATATTCGATACAGGAAAAATAAGCGGAAGAAAAAGAGACAGAGATCAGAAAAATAAATATTTTTACAATGGTTGGATGGTTATTGGAATGTAGTTGTCTGGCCAGCTGACGTGAGTCTTTAAAACAACATTTAAAGGCAATTGGATTAAAAAAAAGTAATATTAAAGGGTAAAGGGAAAGAATAGGGATTAGAGTGGATACTTCGAAAACTATAATAATGTTTGAGTTTGATATAGTACCTTATTACGTTGTTGAGACATCTCAAAGAGCTTTAAAGGATATACTGTAAAGTGATGTGACTGTATTTTGTGGGTGAACACAGCAGTCGATTTGCGCAAAGCAATATCCCACAAATAGCCACAGAGTGAGTCACCAATTCTATCTGGGGGATTGCTGGCCAGAATTTCCTTTCTCTTTTTGAATATTGCCATGGAATGTTTAATGTCCACCTGAACAGGCAGATGGGATCTCAAGTTAACATCTCATTCGAAAGATAGCATCTCTGCCCATGCAGCACACCCGAAGCATTGCATTGGAGTATCAGCAGAGACTATATGTGTTCCGTGGTTAAGTCCCGACGTGGGGCTTGAAAGCACAACCTTCTATGTCAGAGGTGAGGGTGGCACCATTGAGCCAGGCTGACACACAGTGGGGGAGTGGGCTCCTTCTTTGCTGTAAGCCTTTTACGATTCTAAAATGTTCACTTACGCAATTCGTCGAAGAGTGTTTCGGTTCCATCATCATCTACCACTGAGCACACCAATCGGGCCTTCAAAAATGTGGTCCATTTGTTAACAAGACTGCGCTGCCCTCCCATGTCATTCTAGATGGTAAAGGAAATCTGTCATAAATGTGCAGCGAAGGAAGTCATTACCCTGTCTACAAGACATCCGTAGCCCCCGTAGAATACTGGAGCCAATATTCTTCTTTTCAAGCACAATACTTAACAAATATACCAGGGCAACGCACTGCCCAAGTGCCGATTGAAGAGAAGTTAATGAAAAACGTACCACTGTATGGCAACACACTTGTACTGATGGATAATTTTAAGAGGGGATTAGGAGGAGCAAAGACTTGTGTGGAGTATAAACAATGGCAATCGCTAGCTGGGTCGAATGGTCTGTTTCAAGGCTTGTAGATCCTATATAATTTGATGTAACTTAACAAACCACTCTTGAACTGTGTAAAATGGAAAGTATCCATTAAAACAGCTACAGAGGGCAGGATTCATTTCAAACCTGGCTCAAAAGGCAATGTTACAAAGGCAATGCAATGCAAGTCTTTGTGCATACTAGTTGGGACCAGTTGCGGCCAGGAATTAGAACCACGCTAAAACAATTTTGATGGGAGGAGGGTGGCAGGGCATTAACAAAGTGAGGCTTGTATCAGCACGGGGCAGGGCCAATATTTGCTGCAATTATAAAATGTTACCATGGAATGCACTAAATCTCTTCTGAAGCGCTTTACTTACAGGACAAACTCTCGCAATCCTGGAGTGGATTTGTTTTGTGTTGCCATTGCCGTCCATTACCTTCTCCCGAAGGAAAAAGTACAACTTTGCATCGTTTGGGTCAGTGCCATCTGGGATGAAGTGGGCATCGACAAACACAGGCTCTGGTACACAGAGAACAAAGAGTTCTTGTAGACAGCACAGAGGAGATTGACTTTAACAATAGTTTGCTATTTCAGAACACATTGGTCTAACTTCAGTGCATTTTCTGTTCTTCAATTTTCTGTCCTTGAGGTGCTGGCTCATATTGGGTTGTAGTCCCATTGACATGTGCTTTGGCCATTATTCGTACCCAAACCTGGCCATTCAAGCTCAGAAAAGCAGCTCTTGGAGTTTGAAAATGGACACAGTCCACAGTGCAATCGTGTTACAACAGAGGTGTATTGCACGATCCAAAGCTAATAACTTGTGTCTACATTAACATATCGTAACTTAGTTATACAATACCCTATTTTTGAAAGGAACATTATTTAACACTTTTTAGACTATATGGAAAAGATAGCGAAAAGAAATGGTCATTAATTACTACAATCTCCAAAGCCCAACATCTAAGCAAATCCACTTTCAGCAATAAACCAAGGTGTCGGGCGAAGGAGGTTTTAACGGGAACATAACAACTGATAGAGGACAGAATTATACATGTTTCAGTGTGGTCTGGTTGGGTTTCAGCACAAAGCACAACTTGGCTCAACTCTCACGTGTCTCACTACACGCCCATTTTGGTTTCATGAATTGCTTGGGAGAGATTATAGCCCGGCTGCATTTTGTTGTGAATGCTCAATTCAAGGGCCCAATGAACGGAACAGAATTCTGCAGGAAGTGACATAATTTCCCGCTGTTGATTGCTCAATACTTTTATTAAAGGGGAAGGAAAGTCTCGCGGGAGAGCTTTGAACAGCACAAATTCCCCCTAGGTTTTTCTTGCCCCTTTAATGGTCGAGTATCAATTTCAGATTGTTTTCATGAACTCAAGTTTGCTCAACCTGCTTTAATAATATCCTTGCTTCCTTGCCATAATTCCTCTATGATGACAACCTCTGGAGCTTCCTACTGCGATTCCATATCACATTTTGTGCAATCATCAAAAGATTTCTTGATTTATCCTTTCTTCCCGATGGCCATAAGTCAACTTTGCACTGACATTATAAACTAATAGTAACTCAACTAGCATTATACCTTTAACTAACGATAATAACTAAAAATATCCCCACAGCTTAGAGCCCTCTGCAGGATTAAGTTGCTCGACTGTTAACTTACAAAGTTCGATTTCAAACAATTTTTTTTTCCCATTTAGTTCTGGAGAAAAACACAGTGAAAGGAGATACTAATGCATTGCAGCCTGTTATATTCCACATCTTTACACTGTGATAACATTGGAGTGTGGACATCGTTCACCATGTAAACGCAGCTGCCCGCTCGCTTCCTGTGCGTCAGTCATTTTTTGAGCCGATATGGCTGACATCCCTTCCTGCTTTGCACATCAATCAGGAAATGATGTCGGCGGCGATCTGATGACCTGGAATTCGGCTTTGGTTTTGAGCGCGTGAACTGGCGGGCACCAGGAGAGTGAGCACAAGGCAATCTGGGTGCTGGTTAGGATTTTAATGACTAAGGCTCCACTGAATTTAGAAAGTTTGTAATTCATTCTATGTTAACGGTACGCTATTGGATTTCACCAAGGAAGATTATTCTGGTCAAAATGTAACGCAAATATCTTATCACAAAGATAAGTTGCAATTCTAGGCACGTACCGCTCAGCCACTTGGAGTTATGTTGATCTGTCCTGATGCCATTTCTCTTGGTCAGACTGCGGAATATAGCTGCGTCAGTGCCCATGAAGTCTATGTACATTCCCGAAAATAGTTCTTCGTCTAGGGAGGAAGGGTCAGGCAATAAGATGGGCGTGCAGAGAGAATCCTGTTTAAATAGCTGCTGAGATTGTTCTGCTCACTCTGTTGTTACTCACTTATCATCAAGGACACTGTGTTAACCTGAGGGTTAAATGAGCAGCGTCCTTTGCCAGATTCAGACCTTGAGTCAATCACAAAGGTTTGATCCTGTAAAACAAAGAGTATCAACAATGCAGCTTTATCCATACACGGACTACAATGTAGAATGTACCATGAGACAGTAACTGGGATCTAATTTGCTGCAATAATAATATCATAAATAACAATAATAATCTTTACATTTGAAATAGTGCTTTTCACATCTATACAGCACAACGTCTCAGAGTGCTTCACGGAATATACTGTAAAATGCTTTTGTATTTGCGAAAAAGGTGGAAAGCGTAAATTGCAATCTCCAAATGAGATTGCCTACTAAATACCCAGTCATTACATTCACAACATGTCCTGTGAAACACATTGAGACATCCTCCCGATGTGATAAGGCACTAAAGCAAGGATTATTATTATAATTATTATAATTATAGCAAACAGAATCTCCGCATAAGGGTCAGTTTAACTCCTTGGTAATTTTCTGTACCTTGGCTGCTTTATGAAACTGACAAACTGATGATCCCATTGCTAACTGAGTGAGCTCAAATTAAAACTTCTCACCCCATTCGCGAATGTCGCACATTAGACCCCCCACCCCCCCCACCCTCCCACCCCCACACACACACACACACTTCCTCTGGTGACCTGGACGACACTTGCCCAGATTAACCCATTGCCATCACCATGCTTAAGAGTATCCAAACCAGACTGAGAATTACACATATGTATGCCACCTACACATGGAAATTTCCCTATATCTGGAAATTAGGTGTGTACTCTCTCCCTGGAGCGACACACCACACTTACCTAATCCTGAATTAGTACTAGACACAGATTTGAGAAGCTCAGAGTGTGTGTTTAGGTACTGCTGCACTTTAACTAGTTGAAACCGCATAACTTGCCATTGATATCACTGCCTGGCAAGCTAGGACCACCCTACCCGTTAGGACTTTGGCTTGCAGGGTTATCAGGAGCTGAGTGGGATGACTCCTGGCCCCCAGTGACTGGTCTGCCCTTCCAAGTCCTGCCAGGTTGGCTGTGGTGTCATCAGCAGTGCCCTAGAATACTGTAGACCCACCTGGGTCAGCAACTGGACTACTGAGAACTAAGTGGGCAGTTGATCTCTGCTTCCAGTTTTGAAAGGGATATAACATTTAATAGCAACACATCACTAACCTCAGACCTGCGACCTCTGTTGATATAGGTGCAAACGGGGCTGAAAGCACCACTTCCACAGACGTACAAGTGCGTTCGGTTATACGCTTGTATTACACGCACAAAGTTGCCGCAGCCGTTCTGTGAAAACGGGGACCACAAAAGAGAAGAAGATCACTTGTTAAATAACATCAACAACAAAATTACATTTGAATAGCGCCTTTCACGTCAGGAGGACGTCCTAGGGCATTGGACAGTCAGTGCTTCGGACCCGAGCTGGGGGTTGGAATTGGGGAGGGTGGAGGGTAGAGGGGGATGCAGGGAGATAGAAGGCACAGTCGAAGAGTCACTGGAACAAACAGCGGGGCCCAATTCACGCCAATTGCAAATCTTTGACCGTGCCTTCATACTGAGAAATCATATGGAAACACAGAAATTTACACCACAGAAGAAGGCCATTCGGCTCATCCTGTCGGTGCTGGCTCTTTTAAGAGCAATCCTTTCAGTCACATTTACCTGCCTTTTTCCTATATCTCTGTAGCTTATTACTTTTTAGGTATCTATCTAGATCCCTCTTGAAAGCCAAAAAATGGGTTCAGTCTCAACCACTGCTGCCAGCAGGGCATTCCACATACTGAAATGATGAAACAAAATCTCCTAACCATTTGCTCATTTGCTACCTATTTTAAATTGATTCTCTTTAGTCACTCCCTCACCGAACAGTAGCCAGAGGGCATCAATTTAAGATAATTAGTAAATGAGCAGATGGGGAAGTTAATGGAAATGTTTTCATTCACAGAGTAGATACGATATGGAATATCCTGCCGGGTGCAGTGGTTGAGGAGTAATCCATATTAGCTTTCAACAGAGAACTAGATAAATCTATACAGATGTTGCGAAAAGATCACTTTAGTTAGCGATTATGCTTACCAGTGGAACTGTATAGTTAAACTTGCATAAGCCTGATCAACATGAAACATTTAAATCGTACATCTGCCCGGTTCAAGAGTTTATATTCTATGCAAGTTTGACATAACTCATACATTGCATAAGTCATATTAAATGTAAGGTCCCAACTGATATGACTCATGTGAGGATTACTGTATTGTAATCCTCATATAAGTCTATGTAATACTGTGGGCAATTGGCTGCCACGTTTCGCCCACAAAATATGAAGTCACTACACTTTATATTATATTCTGTGAAGCGCTTTGAGATGTCTCGAAGACGTGATAAGACACTATATCAAATAATAATAATAATAATAATCCTCGCATTTGATATAGCGCTTTTCACGTCGGGAGGACGTCCCAAAGCGCTTCACAGAACACACTGTAAAGTGAATTGACTGTATATTTGTGGGCGAATGCGGCAGCCAATTGCGCACAGCAATGTCCCACAAACAGCCGTAGATTGAAAATGACCAATTTATTATTGTTTTTGGTTTTGGAGGGATTATTATTAGGCTCTGTGTGGAGTAAGGAAACTTGCCCAAGGTTTTAGCTCTCTGCCTGGAATTGAACTCAGGTCTCTCGCTTGCAAAGCGAGTGCTCTAACCACTGAGCTACAGGACTCCACAAGGATTACATTGCATTTGATATAGCAATATAGCATTTGATAAAATGTTTTGTGATGTTAAGCTGTGCTCTTTCCAGGGAAACCCATGGATGTCACACAGACATCCGAAATCTTGGGATCGGAGCTAAGGTCTCGTGAGCACATGGTTTTCTCTGCAGAAAACCTGGCTTGCATTGTCAGGCGCTTTTCCCAGGAGTTAGAGTGCTGACCGTACTTTTCAATCCCATCGTGTCAACTAAATAAGTTCCACATTTCTCGAATAGGAGCTTGCATCCGAAGCAAATCCTTCTGTTAGTAAAAAAAAGGTAAGGATTTTTAGAGTGGCGCTGGAGTGACTTCAGGGCACACTAAATACTCACTGTGCTGCCAAGCCTTTAAAGAGCAGTTCTTGTTTGCATGTCAAAAACACAAGGGAAACAAAGGACTTTCTCTGTTGAGGGAGACTGAAATATCGTTGCCCGGAGAACAGTCCAATCGTTTGCCAGATCTCGAGTTGATTATTGCCTGTCAGTCACATAGAGTATCTAAACATTTTCTACTTACGTTTGGATCTTTGCCAGCCATTTTGCATTCATCTACTTTGCTGCTTGATGCTGCCCAGTGAACCTGGTGAAAAATATCAGGCAGGTTTTGAGCACCGTTACGGATATTCCAAACTAAGATTATACGACAAAGACAAAGACAAAGGTTAATGCTATCTATCTGTCCAAAGTAAAAAAAAGATAACACTACATTGCTATATCTGTATAGGTGTCAGCTTGGTTCTGTTAGTAGAAGTCTCGCCTCTGAGTCCAAAGGGTGTGGGTTTAAGCCCCATGACCGGGCTTTGAATGTACAGTCCAGGCTGGTGATCCAATACAGTGCTGGGCGTGTGCTACATTGTTAAAGGTGCTGTCTTTCAGATGAGACGCTAGGCTGGGGTCCAGTCCGCCTGTTCAGGTAGATGTTAAATATCCCCTGGCACTATTTGCAAAGAGAAGGGAGTTTCTCCTGGTGTCCTGGCCAACAAACTCCCAAATAAAATTGGTCATGGCTATTTGTGGGGCATTGCTGTGTGCAAATGCCCTGTTGTGTTCACCCACAAATACGTGGTCACTACATGTCACAGTACAATTATGTGAATCACTTTGAGACGTCTTGATGACATCATAAGGCGCAATTTCAAATGCAAGGGTTATTATATCTTTCAAGGCCCTCATTTGGATTATTTGTCAAATAATTATAGTCAGATTATTATCAGATTCAGTGACTATTTTCTCTGCATTGGTCCCACATGTACTTCAATTCTCAGGAAAGCAGATAACCTCTTACCCCTTCGCTAACCCTGCAAACCAAAGCCCTAATGAGAAGTGTGGTTCTAGCTGCAGGAAGGTTGCCAGACAGTGCTCTCAATGGCAAACTGTATAGTTTTAGCTGGTTAAACTTCAGCAGTGCCCTAATGCAAGCCTTGTCTCTTGCCAACCTATACATAATACTTGCTGGAATTAGGTAAACAGGGTGTGTTCCTGCAGGGAGAGATCGTGCATTCCATTTCAGGCACAGGGAAATGTTCATGTATAGGTATAGGCATACATATGTGGAACCTCCAGTCTAGTTTGGATACTCTTAAGCATGGTGATGTTGTCAGACACCCGGCCGATCACACAAAAAAAACCTTTGCAACATTACTTCACAAAGCCTCTAATAGGTGTTTGAAAGCTATTACTAGCACCTCGAAGATAGAGAGGCAGCAGCAGATGAAAAGCAACATCCCCTCTCCCCACGTGATGCCTCTCTGTGACAGCACAGTTGTGTGAGTAATTGTCAAGAGAATTAATTGTATAATTGCCTCTCGAATTTACTGACACATTCTGTCGTCCCCGGCTCTCTAGAAAGCTTATTCCTCTGCAAGCAACTCAGCTAGATCATTAGCATTTGTGCTTGACAAACATTATAATGGAAGCATACATAAGTGGAACTCTCAGTCTGGTTCGGATACCTCTTAAGTAATAATGATGGATTTTTCACATGTGTCTGATGGATGACTAACCAAGAAACAACATAAGGTGTTCTGACGAAGGGTCATGGACCTGAAACGTTGATTTATTTTCCTTTCTCCATAGATTATTATTATTATTATAGATTCTGCCTGACCTGCTGAGTGTTCCCAGCGACTTCTGTTTTTTTTCAGATTTCCAGTATCTGCAGTATTTTACATTTTGTATAAAATTAACTTGTTGCTTTCCTGATAAACAACCTTACTGCAACGGAGACATTGCAAACTGCAAAATTCAGAACACGATCAAGAGGAAACGTTTCTTTCTCCATTCTGAAAATTAAATAATGGCCAATGGGTTATTGTGGCCAATAACCTTCTGGTGATTTGCATCGTTTATTAAGCCGTTGATTTGAATGGTAATTCAATATCATCTGCTTCTTGGATGTGGTGACGTGATTACAGCCAACCATTTCCAATTATATACTGTATATCATTTCCATCAATTCTAACTTCTGTATTTTCTGGGCTGGCTGTAGCGTCTCCAAACTGTGAGGGAATAATGCATGCAACAGGAAGCAGACATTGGCTTGTAGTGCTGTGTTTACACTGCCCATTTTGCTGAGACTTGGAGAAGGTTATTTCAGAAGCAGCTCCATTCACCCCGGTGCAATATTAGCACAGCGGGTGCAAATCAAATTGACCTCTGCTCCCCCTGAATACTCTCGGGCGCTTCAGTGGATGACCCAGGAACTATCAAAGGACAATCTGTGATGTTGTTAAGGAGGTTGGTTGGGCGGGTGGCTCTTTGATAACGTTGAAAGAAAACCTCTTTATTTGACAGCCCCCTCGCAATGCCATATGGAGCTATGAGTATAAATCAATGTCGCTGTTCCACATCACCCTACTGCTAGAAGCAAAATTACTTCACTTCCAGTAGTGTAAACACAGCATTTAAGAGACCAATATGCCTATGTGTACTCAAAAAGTCTCCAAAGCGGGTGGTCTGTGCAATTTATGGTAGGAATGGCGCTAGAGTATACAGCAAAGCACAGAGTGAGCACTTACAGTTAGAGCAATCCTCAAATGTTTTTTCTAAGTTTAAGCAGCCCTACAGAGCGAACTTACGGCAAGAGGGTTCTGGCTGATGTTGTTTACATTGAGGGACAGGATGTGATCCTTGCTGCCCACATATATGCGATCCTGATCTTCATCCATCAGCAGGATCCTATAATCCAAGGGATACTGGGATAGACTGTAAAACTGGGAGGTGTGAGTGTCTTGCAGCTCTGTAACAAAAAACACAAATATAGATAAGCCAACCCACAGGGATGTATAAAATTGGTCATACACTTCACAAATGTTTGTGAGACATCGCCGTGCGCAAATTGGCTCCCGCATTCCCCTACAAATACACAGTGACTGCACTGAAGTGAGAGGTGCTATATCAAATTGCAATGAATATTATTATTAATTTAAATATGATTTGTCCAATCCAGTATAAGAAAATAAGGTAACAAAGAAACATTGGGTAATTAAAGAGCCCAAGCGCTAATAATTGAAACGTGGCGAGGGAGAGGGTATATGAGATATGTGATGTGATATTAATACCTGATGTGATATCACATCACATATTGCGTATTTGTCCCCAAAGCCTTATTTTTCAAAAACGAATTAGGTGAAGGGAGACCATGAAGCAGAAAAACTCCGAAAGAGCAGCAGAAAGGGAGGAAAAGTGAAGAGGTGTCTTACTCGAGAGAGAGATGAAGGTGATCTTAAGGACCTGGGGAAGAATGAGTTTGGTTTCAATACTGTGAAACTGAATGAATGGATGCGGAGTGATTGGGACAGTGTATCTGGAGCGCAAGAGAACAAGAGCGCAACATACGAAGGAGCAATAACATATGACCAAATAGAAAGGGAAGAAAGATTATGATTGAGAGTGAGTACGAGAGAGAAAGAGAGAGAAGCTGGAGGCCAGGGGTGAGGCATGGATCACTATCAGGGGACCGAAATTCCATCTGTTTTCAGACTTAAACTATTTTCTTAATATTTCAGATCATATAGCATTTTAGCAAATTCTTAAATGTAGCTTTAATTTTGAGCCTGATTTTCTTCAGTGTTGTAGAACTACGTCAAAGCAGCTTCCAAATGAAGGCAGAGTTCAAGAATTTCAACCTGAGCTACGTATTATCTGAAAGTACTTTATTATAAATGGATATAACATTAAAAATACTTCAATTCATCATTATTTAACTTTAGTTTATTAAGCAAATACAGTACATTAAGTGGATGCTCTATTGTAGGTTTTATTGTATTGACAATATTGTTCCCAGTATTTCATCTACAGAACAATAAATGGACATTCTGGCGCACATCCTCTTAAGACACTCTGTGAGACAAATTAAAACAAGAAGGTTATTTTGCAAGAATTTTAAACTTCACGTGTTCCTATAATTGCTCAGTTCCCTACATATGTAACCTAACATATTATTGGAAAATAAGATGGTTCCACTATCCTTGCTTAAAACTAAATAATTTAGGTGTCAGCCTAGCTCAGTTGGTAGCATTCTCGTCTCTGAGTCAGAAGGTTGGGGACTTTGAGCTCACAGTCAAGTTTGACACTTCAATGCAGTGCTGCATTTCTTGTGAAGGCTTCTTTGGATGAGGTGTTAAAACCAAGGTGTCTTCTGCCTGTTCTGTGGACCTTAAAGATCTCACAGCATTATCCCTCACTTCATGCCCCTGTGGGACAATGCTGCACGTGAATTAGCTGACCATTCGCTTACAAAATACACAGTCAATATACTTCATAGTAAAACATCCTGGGAAGCTCTTTTGTCATCTCGACAACATGATAAGGCATTGCATCAAATGCAAGTATTTTTATTATTATTATTATCATCATTATTATTATTATTGCCAGATTAAGCGCAATTCAGTTTCATCAGGCAGGAAAAACTGGAGAATATAATTTCCTCTAAGAATCCACTTGTTTAAAAAACAGCATATTACTTGAGCTGTAAGTGGCTATTTTATCTATAGCAACAATTTAGTTTCAGTGCTGATTATAAAGTAGAATTTAGTAAATGTCACGGACACATTATTTCCTTGAGGTACTTTGCAGATAAAGTAAAGCATTATTATGATTTGTTGCGACAGTCCTCAAAGGGCTAACTGATTCCTATTAGCTCTCAATGCGGACATTAACGTCAAATGTTTTTGTGTAATTGAAAGCATGTGGCTGAGGTTGTAGCCGGTGTCCCAGTGGTCTAACAGGGCCTGAGCACAATTGTTTGCTGAAATAATCAGTGACATTCACTTTACACAGCAAAAAGGTCAAAACACTTTGGAAATTACGGAGAGGACAGATCGATGGTTTCATCCAGCTTCATTCAGAACCATGTGAAGGCATGATTCCCCAAAGGAATGAGTTCAGTGATTGATGTGACACATTTTCAATGTGCTGGAAGTGCTTAGCATAAAGAAGAGTTCCTCATGCTTTCGTTCGATTTGGTTGCATTCCTAACAGATGTGAGATATGAGGCTCAGCACATCAAGTAATATTATCAATCACTCAAATATGTTACCAATGTCATTACTATTACTTCAATTGTGATGAACTAGCAATAACATTTTGCTCAATATTGCTGCATAACACTTGCTAAAACAAACAGGAGTCGTGTTGTTTTATGCCTGATTTAAACTGCTGGAAGCAATGCGATATTGCTTCCACTAGCAGATGAGATGTTAAACTGAGATCTCAACAACAACAACAACAACTACAACAAAATTACATTTACAGAGCGCCTTTCACGTCGGGAGAACGTCCCAAAGTGCTGGTCTTCCTGTTCAGGTGAATGTTACTGATACCACGGCTTGATTTTACGGGTGGAATAGTTTGCCAAGAAGGGTGGTAGAGGCCTGGACACTGGACTCATTTAAAAAGCAGTGTGGTGCTGTGATGGGGAGATGTTAGGGTGGGTGTTCTGGAGGGATTCTGGAGGTTTGTTCCGGTGTCTTACCCATCAATCCCTTAGATAAAATTGGACATTCACTTCATGGCTGTTTGTGAGACATTGCAGCAGTTTAAATCAGGCATAAAACAACACAACTTCTGTTTGTTTCAGCTCAATAATCAAGCAAAATGTTACTGCTAGTTCATCAGAATTGAAGTAAAAGTAATGACATAAGCACAGACTGGCTGCGGCAATATAATGCCCCACAAACATGAAGTGAATGATCAATTTTATCTGGGGGATTGTTGTCAAACTATATGGACATTTAAATGAAATGAACCTGAACGTTTATGTTTTGCTTTATTTTCCCCCCCTTTCCCCCTTGAGCACTGGAGCAATTACAAACACTGAGCTTTGGACATCTCCGTTTCCAGAGGATGTTTTTACAGCGCTGCTTGGAGACAGAGCTGAGGATGTAGTCTCAAGCCTATCTCACATGCAGTAGGATGGCTCAGCATTACTTGAATAGTTTCCCCACAGCATTCTCAGACCCTTCCACTCAGGTCACAAACTCACTGTGGAATTGCTCAGATGCCATCAGTCTCCACAAGTTCCACAGTGAACAACAACCTACATTTAGCCAGAACACTAACATATACAGGACCTATCTGACCTATGTTTAAAGCCTGCCTTAAGACCTATCTTTTCAACTGTGATTTCAATCACTGTTCGTGGATTTGTGAATCACTTTTTCGGGGGTAATGCCTTGAAAAATAAACAATAATTATAATTTGGTCACTCAATCCACGACAGTCTGTAGGACACTGCTGTGCGCAATTGGCTGCTGCATTTCGCCCACGAGATATACAGTCAATTCACTTTACAGTATATTCTGTGAAGTGCTTTAAGATATCTCGAAGATGTGATAAGGAGCTAATCGTGGAGTCCTGTAGCTCAGTGGTTAGAGCACTCGCTTTGCAAGCGAGACACTTGGATTCAATTCCAGGCAGAGGGCGAAACCTTGGGCAAGTTTCCTTACTCCACACAGAGCGTAATAATAATCCCTCCAAAACAAAACAATAATAAATTGGTCATTTTCAATCCACGACTGTTTGTGGGACATTGTTGTGCGCAATTGGCTGCCATGTTTCGCCCACAAATATACTGTCAATTCACTTTACAGCATATTCTGTGAAGTGTTTTGAGACATCTAAAAGACGTGAAAAACGCTGTATCAAATGCAAGGATTATTATTATTATATCAAACGCAAGGATTATTATTATTATCTCTCCCCGCCACCACGATCACCCCCTCTTCCCTCCTGTTATCCACTCACCCTCCTCAGTTTCTTTCCCTTCCCTCCCCTAGCTTGGCCTTCCAATCAATATAAATAAACAATAATAACAACCTTACAGTTGGTATAATGCCTGTCACATCAGGAGGCCATCTAAACGCACTTTATAGAATACACTGTAAAGTGGAGTGACTGTGATCTGAGCCAATATTGCAATGTCCCACAAACAGCCGTGAAGTGAATGACGAATTTTATTAGGAGATTTTTGGCCAGGACACCAGGAAAAATTCCCATGGAATTAGACTGAAAAACAACTTAAAGGGATGTTTCAATTCAATGTATATTTATAACTAGTTTAATATTAATAGGAATAGTGATAGAGAGAAAGTGACAATGAGATCAACCACTCATTTTTTTTAAGGAAAAAAAAGTTTTCCGAAAATCACAACCTCAATGAATAAGATCAATGTCTTTAAAATGTCCTTTCACAGATTTGATGGACTGTATTAAATCTCTGGTGGTATATAAATGTGGTTGTGGTTCCTATTCAGAATGCTCTTCCAGCCAGCTAACCTTCGCACAATAGATATTCAACACAACACCAGTCAAGGGTGAAAATGAAAATTTGGTGCAGAGCTTGTCAAGACGGTTCAAGGCTCATCTAGAAATCTATTTCCTGAAATGTTTGTTGAACCTAATTATATTCAGGAGCTGTGAAATTACAGGGTTGTAAATGCGCTTGATTTCAAACGCTCATTGTCTAAATATAGGTCTTGGAATGGACTTAGACTGAAAGTTTTAAGTTACATGTAAGTGATGTACCTAGAAATTTGCTGCCAGTAACCATCTTTCTAATTTCAACTAATTCCATGGGAGTTTCTCCTTGTGTCCTGGCCAACAGTCCCCCAAGAAAACTGATCATTCACTTCATGGCTATTTGTGGAACACTGACTGCCACATTTATCCACAAAAACACACCATCACTGCGCTTTACAGTGTATCCTGTAAAGCGTTATTAGATGGACTCCTGAAGTG